TTTTTTTTTAAACTCTTCTGAAAACAGTTAGTAGTAATTGCCAGAAAATAATTTAATGTCGTAACAGAATGTATCCCTTGTCATCTTAATCCACTGTTTATTCATCCTTTGAAAAAGTCTAATGGTTCAGTTGTGTAATAGAGCTCTCAGGTAAATCAAATGATAAATTACTTTGTTCCTAATTATATCAGTTTTCTGCTCATGTGACCGGGATAAATGTTGAGATTTTTTTTTAGTGCAGTGTTTGCAAAGTTTCACTTGTTAGGCATAGTAGCATTTTAGAAAGACATAAATATTTTTTGTGAGTGCTACTTAGTTGTATTTTGTATTCTGTTATCTCTCTCTTCATTAGGCAAATACATTTTTTTAATCTTTCTGTTAATATACTCAAGGAAACTTCTACACAACTAAATGAAAGTGTGGTTAACACATCTGTCATAGGACATATGTTTTTGTAGCCTTGGGTTGCTGGGGTTTCTCTGTGGAGGGGGGCATTACGGACTGAGGTCAGTGTGTCCTGCAGCTTGAGGGTTATCTGGTCAACATGGAAAAAACATCGTCGTTTAAAGTTGAATCCCAAATAAAGTCCTACCAGAGCGGCTTGGCAAGAGCTACAAAAGTGGATGTGAAAGGCTACTCCCTTCCCTGCAGTATGGTGATAAAGGTCTGCAAAACTCCAAAGTCATTATTAGGGTCTTCCTCTAACCCACCTTGTTCTTCACTCTGCCTTGCTTTGCCTGCAGAAAGTAAATAAGAGTTACGTCAGTGATTCTGGTAAAACTTTTTTTTTAAATTGGATTACTTCAAACTTTTAAAATAAAATTCTTCAAATATCCACAAGAGATACTGAACAGAGGTCAGTTATTAAAAGCATCTTAGCCCACTCTGGTTCACTGGTCTGATCAGAAGTGTAGCACTCAGAGGAATAAGAGGAATTTCCAAACTGCCAAGTGGAGTGTATTAAGAAAGGTAAATACCACTTTGGCTGTTCAGTCTTTGAAATTTTCTAAGGAATGAGAAGAAATGGTGCATTTAAAATTCTCACTGGAAAATAAGATAGGAATTTAATCTCATACAGAGAGGAAAATTAGAGAGAGACAAAATTTTAATGACTGTGATCCTCAAATGAATTGATGAATCTGAGTCAAAACAAATAATTGAATACCCATGAAATGATATTTTTTGCAAATAGAATAAAAAACAATTCCACATCCAAAATAAGTGTAATACACCTATTCTCTCTCTTCTAAATTATTTTAAAAGTTTTTACAGTCACATCACATTACAGTAATTTTTTTCCAGTTTAATTTTTTCAGTATTTTGAGCATTTAAAAAATCTCGCAAATTTTTGCTTATTAATTATTCTGTTATTGGAGGAACTCTGTTTTTTGTTCAGATTAATGTCTGTGTTACTTAAGTACACATGAGTCTCTATACATTGATGTTTTGGAATCTCAGCAAGCAATGCATTGGAAAACTAAATTTAGACTCAAGGGAAAGGTACTACTCCATATTGTCCCCCAAAGTTGTAATGAGGTGAACATCAAATGTCTATAACTTTTTTCCGTATTAGGGCCTATTGTGAAATGTTGCCCTTTGTCAAGTCAGTGTAAAAACTGCCACCGACTCCAGCAGAGTATTTTATCTGTTGCATCAAAAGACGTCTGCAATGTTTCCAGTAAGTTACTGAAAACTGTAATAATACAAAAGCCAAAACCACTACTAATAAAATGCCTACTAATGAAGCCATTTGTGGTCCAAAGTCTCTTCATCCCTTTCTCACAGAAATCCATGCCTGATTAACCGAGTTTCAAACAATTCATCAAATAATTGTGAGAAAGTTCTTACTGCGAACCTGTTCCTAACTGAACACACAAAGGGAGCGACTGACACTGAACCCCAACAGTATTTTCATTTACTGCCTCCATGCAGAAACTGCAGTCATAAGCTAAACTGTGTGATTTTTCTCCAGCACCGTCTCACTAAACCATCCTTACTGTTAAAAGCATGATGAACGTGAGCACATACACTGATCCATCCTGATTTATTTTTATTGTGTAGAAAAGGTATAGACAGCACACATGAACATACTGGTATTCTGCATATGTTTATTTTGTTTATAGTACAGAGTATCAATGGGGACCTAATGTCCATCTTCTACACAGTGATAAAACAAATATACAATGCTGTTTTATGGACACAACACCAATATTCTAACTTGTATTTTTTTGTAAAAAAGGTGAAACAGGCGGAGTTACAGAAATTCTCACTGTTTGTTCTCCAAGTCCAGTAAAAAGACTAATTCCATCATAATTAGAATATTTGTGCCAGTATCCAGATGAGATATTTTAAAGAAAGTAAGAGGCCAATGGCATCCCTGGTGTGTTCTGGTAAAGGCACTTCTGATGCAATTCTGTCCCATTAAGTTAAATTTATTTTGGCTTTTGGCAAGCCCGTCAAGAAACTGAGGGCCAAAGAAACAGTAAGTAATAATAGTGAGTGCTGGGCAGCCCAAACCATCTGGCTGACAGCCTCAGGGCCTACAAGGCCCCAGACTTTTGTCTTTCCTGGCAAACATTTGGGATGAAATCTCAATGACAAAGTATTTTTATGTGTATGTGTTTAATTTTTGTTTTGTATTTTTTTCTAATATGTAGTTGAAAAACTGTCTTCATGTGTCAACTTAATTCTTCTTTTCCACCTTCATGTAGCTCTTGTTTGCGTACTAATATTACTGATTGTTTCTTGTTTCAGCTATTTGTACAAGAATGAAATCCAGTCAATTGACAGGCAAGCATTTAAAGGACTTGCCTCTCTAGAACAACTGTAAGTGCCTTTTCTCTTCTGTGCTGTCATCTCCATGGTTCCCCTGCAGAGGAAAAGTGCACGCCTTGATCCGTACATCCTGCCTGCATGCTCTGCATGTCTGCACTCCCTGGGTTGTTAGGCAGAGAGCCCTGTAATCATTTGCATGTGGAAAAACAAAATCGCTCTCTGTGTCAAATTCCTCATTTCTATGTTTGTCTTTTATTTGTGATCTGCATTCCGAGTGTCCGGATGCATTGTTATACAGCTTTGATGAAGAAGAAGCATTATTGTGGAAAAAGTTGAAAACTAATGTGTATTGCATAGTGAGAGATTCTGATTTCATTTCTGTAGGTTTTATAACATTGCAATTACTTTGACTGCAGCAGTTACTTTGTTTTATGCCAGCATAACTAAAGCTGAATTAGTCTTTTGAAGTTTAACCCAGTTTTGTTATATTTTAAAACAAGACGACCTTACTATTACTGATACATGTTAATCATTGCCATGTACAGATGTTTAAAAAGAAAGTTGATTGTTTGTAATGTAGATGTTTCAGTAATGTCTTCTAGAAGGATTGACTAAAATCATACTCCTTTTCCTGTCTAATGGCTGAAGAACTATTTCTGTTGAAAAAGACTGAAAAATCCAGTCATTAGCATGAAAAAACCTGATTGTATTGATTCCATTAAGTTTAACTATATTTTGTTTTATAATCAGAAAGCATTGCTATACATTCATTGTGGTAAGGTTCAGAAAAACAGAAAGAGCTTTAAATGCATAGCTACTTCACAGTTTGACTGCCAAATAACAGTACTAGACCAATGAGTTTTGTAGCATATAAATTTTGGGGGCTGAACATCTTTCTTCTAGGACCAGCATAAATTTTGACTCATGACAGTTACAAGTGTATTACAAATTTTCTATGATATATACCAGTTTCCTTGTTGTTATAAAACTCTAGTGGATATTAGTGGACACAGTGTGTATCTGAAATAAAATGACACTTCAGATGGGTACAAAATCATACAAGCTCATTTTAGAGGGCAACAGATGTGTTTTGAAGGAAGAGCTTCTATACAAAACAAAAGTGATAATTACAAAACATGTATAAATGTCATTTGTTTCCTTAATGCCTTTCTCTCCCTCTTCCTCCTGCTCTAGAAATGATTACTGCAGCATATTGACAGCAACTGGTAGGGCTTACTTGCATGCTAATAGCATTTCTTATTTCCTGTGTAGAACTTTAAACATTGAGGCCCATTTATCGAATTACTAATTCTTCCAAAATAATATTCTTCCACATGCCACAAGCCTGATATGCTGAAAGTGGCAACAGTTGTCCTTTTTTCTTTTGCCCTATTTGCTGTTGATCTATGTCATGACTGAAAACCATAAATCACTTTGGAATGTTAACACCTTCTGAATGTACTTTTCCACTGGGTTGCAGTCAAGTCTCTGTGCCCGCAGTGATATCACACTGTATCAGCTTAAGCTCTTACTTGAGACATCCAGATTATTCTGTATAAAATTAAGTTTTAAACAAGGTTGGAATCTCATCTCTAGCTGGGAAGTACAGAAACAGAGCCTGGCAGAGTCACTGCTCAGTGACTGCCCTTGTGTCATGGCATCAGTTGACGCAAGCAGCACCCATGGCAGGTCTGGCGATCTGTCGGGGAGGGTTGCTGCCCTGCTGGGTGCACATCAGAAAGCTCACTTCGTTTAAAGCCCTTCTCCTGGGCATATCTTAAAAAGAAAGCTGGCCAGATAGGAAAATAGGAGCACAGGAAGCCAGTGGCAGGCCTGGAAGTAAACTTATTGGAGGGTATTCATTGAGATTTGTAGTTTATGAGAGATTTGTCATTTATGTATCTTTAGCATAAAAATAGATTCTGACTCTACAGGGTCTGTTTTATCACATTATCTTTGGAGAAAGTCTGTGTTCACAAGACAAAAGTTAGTCTTTGTGAACAAGTTCCCAAGTCCTCTAATTTCAGTTTGGGACTGTATCAGCTACTCAGTCAATGTTTCTGCATTTGGGGCTGTTATGGCCTCAAGTTATCAAACACATTTTGCTTCTCGATGTGTTGACTTAGCCAAATGCTCTTCTCAGTGCTCATGAGAGTTCTCAGAAGTAGATGCTGTGATTCACATCTCAGCGAAAGACTTGCTTCACAGTAATTTCTTCTACTCCAATGAAGCAGAATGAAACTGATAGTTGCTTTTTTTAAAAAAAACTGAACAGCAAAGCAAACACTTTTCTGTGTTGTTGGCGTTTTTGTTGTTGTTGTTGTTCTTTGGGAGAAACTGTAAATACAGTTTGATTTAGGAGGCCTGTTGCATGTATAAGGGAAGAAAAAACCCGGTATTTACTGTGGCTGGCAGGGTCCTTCTTAAACCTCCGCAGCAGAATTCTTAGCTGCTGATGTAGTAGAAATGTCTTTTTCTTCGGAAATTTCTGCCAAGGGAATAAGATCTTTGAATCAGATCTTGAAACTTGCTTGTGCTAGAGTAAATTCTGAAAAAAATTGGCAGTTTTAGATGCTTGAACACGCTGAGCCATACATATTTCGTCACCTAACTCTTCAGTCATGGCAGGGCATGAAGGGACAAAGTCAGATGATGAAAAGTGGCTGCTTAGTACCAGTTTAGACCCTGTTAAATCTGCAAGACATATGTTTGGGTCTGGCAAATGCAACACAAAGCTGTAGGAAACTTGCATTGTTTTGGAGCAACAGGCGGAAGGCAGATAGAGCACCAAAAGGCAACAAAAGCTGCCTCTCTGTGCTTGCGCTTAGACAACCACTGTATGCCTCTATATGCCTGTGCTTAGACAACTGAATCCCACCTGAAATATCACAACTACCTGGCTTGGGAGGTCACAAGTTTGCTGTATCTGGATCCCAAGATCTAGCTCTAAATGCAGTTTATTTCCAGATGTGTGTACGTTGCTTTTCTTCCAATTGCCTACTATATTTTCTGAGATCTCAGCTTAAGAGCTATATGTATCAGGGACAAAAAGTGCTCTCTGCAGTCCTTAACTAGTGGGATCCCCAAATACTAATGGAATTATTTAAGTCTGTTTACCTGATCTTAGTGGAATGCTAATTATGCTTTTCTTTTAACTTTCATATTAACATTTTGCTCTTTATAAGCTGTTATTAGAGTTATGCCGTAGTTTGTGTACACATGTACATATTTTGGGGGAAATTAATACATAAAAACATTATCTTACATATATGATGCAGCTTATTATATTAATTTTATTTCCCTCAATTTAATTTTCAGTAGCTTTGAAATGTTGCTATGAATTTTTTTTTAATTTTTATATTACAAAGGGTTCCTGGTTTTTGCGTAACTGTATGCGAGCGGTTATGCACATATAACACAGTGGAGCCTGACTAAAGTCTCATTGCTGCTAAAAATACCTATGGTAAGGAATAATGAAAGAGAATTAATTAATAAACAAACAAACAAACCCAAAAGGTATGAAAGGGACCTTGAGAAGCACATCCTTATTATTCTAAAATAAGATCAGCTAGGTACATCAAACCTAGATGGCTAGAAGCAGATATTTATCTAGCCTTATTTTAAAAGTCTTTAAAGAGAGGATTCCATAATCACCTTAAGTGTCCTGTTCCAGTATTTTACGTTGTTGCTGTAACATCTTGTTTAAATCTCTTTCCTTGTGGTTTAAGCCTGTTAACTTCTTGCCATACCCCTGGGCAGGGAAAACTGATAAATGTGGGAAAAATATTTTTGTTCATTCTCTTTCAAATAATCAAAATGGCAAACATGCTATTTAGATATTGAGAACATAGGTTATACTCAACTAATGGATTTTAAGTACTTCCACAAAGATGTGGAGATACTTTTACAAATGAACAATTGGCATATATGATAAAAGCAACCCTCTACAAAAATATTATGCTACAGAATATATACACCTTAATTTAGTGCTGTGAAAAATGCCACTGGGACTGAGTTTTACTGTAAATGTTCATCCTCCAAGATTAATAATAACAAAGAGAAAATCTGTACCATGCTTATTTGATCAAATCTTTGTCTTCCTTTAGGTATGTTTGATTTGGACTTTTTTTTTCCTTTAAGTATTTCCTTTCCTTCTGTTTTATCCTTGATAGTGAATTCAGAATTAAAAAAGGAAGACACAGGGGTATTTAAAAATCACTCTTGCATGCTTTTTCTTTAAATTTCCATTATGAAAGCCATTTTAATATCAAATTCATTACATCATGCTACTATTTTTAAGTGTTTTACACTCTGAACATAAAAGATATCTATAAAGACATGTCAGTGTGAGAATATTTCCTGAATATGATTACCTTTAAAGTGAATTTCCAGTCCAAGAAATTGTCATGTTAATTAAAATATTAAACATCCTTTAAAAAAGCATTAATGTGGCACATAGAAGAAAAGAATGTAAGTGATAAACCTAAGTGATAAAACGTGATTAAAGTGTAGGTCATAAAGCCAAGGATTTTTTTATTCTTTTTATTGTAGAATTACAATGCAAATTGGTTTCTGCATCTATTTGTTTAGAATTACAGTTGTTGCTAATTACTTTGTCCACATATTTAACACCTTGTTCTGCTCATAAATTGCTTGACAAGTTGGTCAGGACTTTTTTTAGGTCATAATTTAAAGACCTGCAAAACCCAACTAACTTGCCATATGAAGCAGTTAAGAGTATTTTCCAGTTGGACTTCACCATTTGATTTTTTGAGCTAATTTAGGCAGCATGATTTCTGATGATGTAAAGTTAACTATTATAATGTGCTTCAGTGCCTGAATTATTGTAGTTGTATCTGTGATGATTTGTGGTTGTAATCAAGGCAAGGTTTATAACAGAAGTATTGTTTTGATTAGACTGATTAATTTGGGTGGAGAAACAAGATCAGTTTTCAGGCACATAAAGTATTCTTTACATCTGCAGTTACACTAGTCTTGATTACTGAACAGCAGTTATGAGCTGTTGCTTTGAGTTTAGTGACATATACATCACTTAAACCATCTGAGAGAGGCGTCCTTTCTTTTTCTCTCTTTGCTAATCTCGCCTCTGATCCATGGACCTGAAGAGGGGGTTGTGTGCCTCAATGTGCCTGCTTTTACCAACATTATTTGTTGTTCTGCTAGGAGGTATTACTTGTACCTACAAATCTTGCCTTGTGAATGCCAAAGAAGTACAAGAGATTAATTTATTGGGACGATAAGGAGATACGTTTGCAAGGTGCTCATGAATCATAAAAATGCAAGTAGAATTAACAAAGTTAAAAAGGAAAAAGTCCCCGTTGGCTGCACAAAAAGTAGCATACGCAATTTTTTCCAAAATCAAAGCTGCTTCAGAAGAAGTAACAAACCCTATAGTTGTGTCTGTTTTTTCCCTTCGTCCTCTTTCACTGCAGGAATCCCCAGCTTGCCTTGCCCCTTCCCAGTTGCTGCTGATGCTGGCGAGGTGGGCAAGCAGAGCCCTGGCTCCTGGCGAGCTGTGCCTGCCCACCTCATGGCTGGGCCATGCCTGCAGGGCAGATGCTGGCCCAGTCCTGCTGGTCCTTCCTCAGGGCTGGACCTGACTGAGGTCTCTCTTCTGTCCGCTGGTGATTCAAATGAACCTTGCAGGAAGTATCTGCCTTTGAGATGTCTGTCTTTTTAATTTAGACGAAATTGGCCTGTATTTTCAAAAGGGAGATGAAGACTGGCAGGCACAGCATGATTGTGCACTTCTCGTTTCCTTATGCAAACAGGATCGTACTCTATGCTCACTACAATTTCTGGCCATGCCTTGCACTGGCAGTAAGCAGACTTGACACTCCGATGTGCCTGATCACATCCGTGCTGATTTATTGGCTTTTTCTGTGGTCCCCATTCATTGCTCCCTGGCATCACTCGCTGGCTCGCGCTGGGACCGTGCTGCTGCTGGCAGGGGATCTGGGAGACTGCCAGGCACGTGCCTGGCTTCCCCGCTGCACGCGCCTTCCAGGGCTCGCTGCAATGACTCTGCTGTAATTGCTGCTTCTTCCCATTTTCCTCTCTCTGCGGCGACCATTCAGCTCAGGTCAGGGAGTAGAGCATGTGCGGTGTTTCAGCACAAGGGAGTTCCCATGTCCTTTTACTTTTCATGCTGAAGGACTGATTTTTCAGGAAATTTTGGGGTCTGAGATTTTTTTCTTTGTTTTTAAATGATGGGCTTTTTCGTTCTTCAGCCCACAGTGATTTCTATATGTGCACATTCTCCAGATGTTCCTGAGTTTGTCAGAGGACAAATAGAAAACTTTAGGAGGTTTGGATCCATTTAGATATAATCAGGATCCAAAGTCTACAAATCATTTTCACAGTTCCTTGTGCAAGTCTTATCAATTACTTCTTGTTTTCTCACCTGCAAGGTTATGGAGTACCTCCACAACATAGTCAAGACTGGAATGATCCTGCCTTTGCAGTCCATTTTCACAGCAGTTACAGATTAATAATCTAGTTAATTAGCTTGTTGCGTTACACTTCAGTTTTACAGGATTAACAGCTGTGTAATATTTGTGGCTGTGGTGATTAATTGTACACCCGTTGTTGGGAAGCCCTTTGTCTAAAAGCAATTTGATCAAACTTGTTTTCCTATTACAAATTTGTTTGGCTTTTGAGAGTGTTCATAGCTTTAAATGCCAGCATTCATGGACTAGAGCAGGTTACTTCTCAGCATCTTTTGAAATTTTCACTCAATGTGATAACAATGAAAACAGTTACCCACTAAAAATGTTATTCTGTTGGAAACTGTAGATGTTTTCTAAATAACCTGCAAAATTTTCCTATAAAAAATGATAATTTTCTTTTTTCCATATATATATATTCAAGTATGCATACTAATGAAAATTAGATTTGGCAAAAGAGTGTTCAAAGTAATATCTCCCAAATCTCCAAAGTAATTGTTTTCAAACAACTTTTTTTTGCACATATATGTACAGACACACAGACATAGACACAGACATACACACTATATAGTGGTCTGCAAACGCTTCTTGTTTGTCATGCCTTGTATTTCTCAGATTCAAGTACAGGATTCGGATAATAACAGAAGAAAGTTGAGCCACTACATCACTATCACCATTTAGATGTGTAAATAGTGCATAAACACTAACAAACGCTTTATAATATTTCAGCTTCATTAAGAAAACCGTTTCAGTATTTTTCTTCTGTTTAACATATTTTCAGGTATCTGCACTTTAATCAAATAGAAACATTGGAACCTGAGTCCTTTACCCATCTTCCAAAACTTGAAAGACTGTAAGTTTGTTTTTCTTGGGGTAAGATTCAGAAGTCAGCTTGCTTCTTTGTTTGAATTAAATCAAATATTTGACACTGGAAAATAGTATTTTTATCATTCCCATAGATTATTTTTAATCTAATTTTTTATTGTAACTACTGCATAGTCTTTGCCAAGAACACTGGTCAGGCTGACCTTAAGAGGCATGCAGAAGTGAGCATTGCCTGTGGTATATTTTTTTTACTGCAAAACTATTTCCCAAAGAGCTGTGATCAGTGTTTGGCCTAAAATAAATGTTATGAATGAAGAAGTAGAAGATTTATATTATGACTTTTTTTTTGTGTTTCTCATTTGAATTCTTATGAACTCCCTTCCTTTTGGTTACTTTGTCTTTTTATGGCTTTTTTCCCCCCATATGGACGCACCAAATACACCTTGGAGGCCAATGAATTGCTGAAAAAGGTTCAGTGTTTTTTTATTTTGTAAAATTACTTTCTCTTGAAGGACTTTCAGAAGAATGTAAATGAAATGAATACATCTCAAAATCTGAATTATTACATGCATATTTCTGTGCTTTTTAACAGATTTTTGCATAACAACAGAATAGCTCATTTGATTCCTGGAACATTTAGTCACTTAGAATCTATGAAGAGACTGTAAGTAAATTGAATTATTACTGAACTAAAGTTTAAATAATCTAATTATACTGTATCTCCTCTTGCAATGTTTATCTTCCTTGCAAATGCCTTTCAGTGTGTAATTGTTTTAAATATTAAATAATTTTTCTGAAGTTGTGCTCTAGTTGTTTATGTACATAGACTGAGACCATTGCTTCATGTCCTATTGTCTTTAGTGACTTTCGCTTGTTTCCTGTCTTGGAATTATTTGTAATCATATAGTCTTGTTTTGTAGACTAAATAATATACAGGGATCCTTCTTTAGTTTCTTTTGGTTTTGGGTTTTTTTTCCCCCCTCTTGTCTATGTCTTACTGGGTGATCCTTCTATGATCTCTTTTAAAATTTGATTTTTGGGGTATTTTCTTTCAATTGTTTTACTTGTCCTTATCGGATGATAAAAACATGGAAAATTAGACGTTAGTCCCTCAGTAGCAATTGAAAACTTGAACTCAATAAGTGTACCGTAGTAAGGTAACTTTCAGAGGGTTTTCTATTCCTCAATTTGGATCTTCACTGATCTAGGATAAACATTCTTTAAATTATCCAAGAGTGCCGTTTTGAGCAAGGCAGTCATGCATGTATACCCCCCTTTCTGGGAGGACTGCTGAGGGTGTGCTGTGCAGCGAGTCACACCACCAGGTCTACTGGGAACAGAGATCGCAAGGGGCATAACAGGAAGATGGTCCTGCAGCATTGCTGGTTTAGGGCAGTTGTGAAACCATACCTTTAACTGTGGGCAAAAGGCAGAATAAAGTAGATTTTGATGATGAATACATGTTCATAGATTTCATAGAATCGTTTAGGTTGGAAAAGATGTGTAAGATTATCAAGTCCAACCATTAATGTAACACTACCAAGTCCACCAGTAAACCAGTTAAGGAGAGAGTGATAATTACTTTCATGTTTCCTGGCTTGGTGGCTGGATTATTTTTTAATGAAAGTAAAACTAGCATAGAATCATTAAGGTTGGAAAAGATCTCTAAGATCATCAGTCCGACTGTCAACCCAACACCACCATGCCCACTAAACCATGTCCCAAACTGCCACGTCTACCCATTTTTTGAACACCTCCAGGGACGGTGACTCCACCACCTCTCTGGGCAGCCTCTTCCAATGCTTGACTACACTTTCCATGAAGAACTTTTCCCTAATATCCAATCTAAACCTCCCCTGACACAGCTCAAGGCCATTTCCTCTTGTCCTATCGCTAACTACATGGGAGAAGAGACCAACACCCACCTCGCTACAACCTCCTTTCAGGTAGTTGTAGAGAGCGATAAGGTCTCCCCTCAGCCTCCTCTTCTCCAGGCTAAACAACCCCAGTTCCCTCAGCCGCTCCTCGTAAGGCCTGTGCTCCAGACCCTTCACCAGCTTCATTGCCCTTCTCTGAACACGCTCCAGCACCTCAATGTCTTTCTTGTAGTGAGGGGCCCAAAACTGGACACAGAATTCAAGGTGCAGCCTCACCACTGCTGAGTAGAGGGGGACAATCACTTCCCTGCTCCTGCTGGCCACACTATTCCTGATACAAGCCAGGATGCTGTTGACCTTCTGGGCCACCTGTTCTGTAGTAGCTGCTTCACTCTTACCTCCCTTAAAGTCCTGTGGAGTTCAAGCGAACAGAAAGAGATTCTTCTTCACATAATACCTAGGTAAAGGGGAGTTTTAATAGTGGCTATCAGTGGAACAGGACAGTGGGCTAGACTGACCTGCTATCTTCTGACCTGGGACAGCTTATCCCTAAAGGTCACATTGTGACTTTCATGTTCTGGATTTAAATTCTACCAATAACATCTGATATACTGAGAGACATTTGTACAGTAGCTTGTAAAATAGTTTTGCTTGTTCTTGCCTGTTTTTCGTAGGAGAACAGGGAAGAGAAAAATATCTGGACATTTGTACAAGAGGTTAAAAAATATTAAAAGACAAAATGATAAAAAAGTTTATGACTCCCAAAGATATACCAAACTGCGGTTGTTTTGCCATGCAACTTTATTTCCAATTTAAATATAGGTATATTTAATGGTACAGATTTCTGTACTTAATGGTTTTTTTCCTACAGGGCCCTCCACCAGGAAGTGCAGTGCTCCACATAGTAACAGGGCCCTCCACTACTGGAAGGAAAGTCAACAGGATTTATGGCTTCTTGTTATCTGCAATAGGCAGGTGTTTTATGAAGTTACTGACCCACTGAACTCAATGAGAGCTTAATGCTTAAATAAAACTGTGGGTCTTTGTCTCAGTTGCCTGATCAGCAAAATGGGAGGTTGTAAAACTGCCAGGTTAGCTGTGAAGTTACTACAGTAATAAGTATTAAACAGGAAAAAATGTGGGGAGAATGGTCTAAATTCCTTATTTAAGCAAAGTTTGTATAACATCTAAATAAAACCTGATTTATTCACAGAATAAAGGGGTTAAAGAAGAAACATTGGTTAGATGCTTGCTGTGTCGAACACAGTCCTACCCATGCAGTAAAAATAATATGCATTTTTGTAATAAAGACTATGAGAACGCATATAAGCAAGTAACCGTTACCTGTATTCCATATTGCCCCTTTGTCTGTGTTCACAGATGAAGGCACTGCTGGTATTGCAGAACTATTTTGATCCTAACAAAATAGTCAGAGTTTGCTAACAGGTGTTGTGGCTGCTTCTTGTTTTGTGCAGGCGTTTGGATTCAAACGCTCTTCACTGTGACTGTGAAATCCTGTGGCTGGCGGAGCTGTTGAAGACGTATGCAGAGTCGGGTAATGCTCAAGCAGCAGCTACCTGTGAGTATCCACGAAGGATCCAGGGAAGATCAGTGGCCACGATAACACCAGAAGAACTTAACTGTGGTGGGTTTGCCACTTTCTGCTGGATTCTTTAATGTGTAAAAATGTACCTAAACTGTATTTTTTTGTTTTGTTCTGTTAGAATTTGCTGTTCTGTTCTCTTCAGTAACCCTAACCACCTCTAGGCAATATCGGTTATTTCTAGAAACTTCCCTGTGTTCCTTCTCAGTTTTTGTCTGCTTCTGACAGAACTGATTGCTTTTACCCCTCAGCCTATATTTAAGGACACAAATATAGCCATGTTTGAAATTTCTCATTGAGGAATTAAATGTGATTATCCGGAAAGAGTTTATTTTTCCTTTTTATGTTTCAGTTTTGATCATAAAAGGATTATCAGCTCTGGTCTTTGGTGTTAATATCGTTTGCTGTCCTTTATGCCCTTCTGTACAAGCGAAAGGGAAGAAAGAAGCTGTACAGAATTGCTCCTGATTTCACAGACCTTATTGTTAAAACTCTTGTTGATATTATTGGAATCGGGGTCGGGCCACTGGATTTCTTTTTTACTCAGCTAGACTTATAAGGAGTGCCCTGCACAGGCACTGAAATCCTCTGTCACTGAAGGATTAATGGATAATCACTTTTATTATAATCCTTTTGTTCATCTGTATTCCTTCAGCTTAGGGATGCAAAGGCTTGGCCCCATGGGCACTCTTCTGTTCCAAAATCAAGATGCAGATTTCTCATCAAGGTGTGGGCATTTGCCTGCCCAGCCATGTGACGAGGCCAAGATATAAAATAAGTAAATTGTCCTTTTGGTTATGTGTTGGATATAATTCTGATCATGAGAATTAGGACCGTAAGCATCTACAAGGTTCTTGAAAAAGATAGTAAAAAGGGGATTTGATGCAAGAATAATTTACGTGGCATCCTACCAGCTCTCTGCACATGTAAGGAGCCAGAATATGGAAACTGCAGGAAGCAAGCTGGACAAATTATTCTGTAGGAGGCAGGTTAGGCACTGATACTAATCTAGAGGAAGTTATTTTAAACGGCACTTGTGCTTGCTGCTTTAAAGTTTTTCCTTCATAAGGAAATTGAACCTCTGTTCAAATAAATAAAACAGCTACTTTAGAACCTGATACAAAATTGCACAATCCATTTCCAGTCTGCTAACCATCCTAAGGAACAATGGAGGAGGTCAGAAAACCTGCAGTCCCTTTTGCATAGGAAAAAGTGTGTTTAATCCTAATTAAGTGTATAAATATTTTCAGTTAAAACTTTTGTGAAAAATATTTTTCTACAAGGTATATGGAAAATTTTTTATTTACCATTCTTTAGTAGTTTTAAAACAAGTAAGACTTCCTTATACATTTTATTGTTGATACAGAGAGGCCAAGAATTACATCAGAGCCTCAGGATGTGGACGTTACCTCAGGGAATACAGTATACTTCACTTGCAGAGCTGAAGGCAATCCTAAACCAGAAATTATCTGGCTTCGAAACAAGTAAGTTTAAAAGAGGAAGAGACAATCTTGATGTAAGTATGTTTGTCTGGGTGTGTGTACATTTCTGGGTGCATGTCCACACACATGACATGTTAATACATGGAATAGTTACAGCACAAACATATCATAATTAAAAGAAATATATGAAGTAATAATGGCCTATATCTGTTGTACTAGTAATTCTAAACACTTAAGAGATTATAACTTTAGAAAATATTAATTTATGACTATAATATTATTGGTAAGATTGTCAACTGTAGCTACACCTGCAAAGTTGCTCACACCTGTAAAACTGTAAATCATTTATATGTAAGTACCAGGCAATACAATATGGACATGTTGCATGTGCAGTTTGTGGGTTTAGCTGGTGTTTGCATACTCTGTGCAGGTCTGTTTGCATTACATTTTTAGGCAGAGCAAAAGCTACTTTTTTAAAGGACTCCAGCTGGATAAGAGTTAGGTTTCAGAGAAGGTCTTCCTTGAGCCACAGCTCCTCAGGGCAGCTTTCGTCCAAGGCGTAGCTCCATTCCAGGAGATGAGAGACATATCAATTTCCAGGCTCCCCAGACCAGTACATGGAGGGCGGGCAGGTGCTTATATCACAGGATTGTAGGGTAGTTCAGGTTGGAGGGGATCTCAGGAGGTCTCCAGTGCAGCCTTCTGCTCAAAGCAGGATCATACCAGGTCACTTTATCCAGCTGGATCTTAAAAGCCTCCAGTGATGGAGGTGGCACAAGCTCTATGGGCAACCTACTCCATTGCTTCTCCTCATTGCTTAGGGGATGAAGGGAAGGGCCTATAAAGGACGTGTGTCTTTCAGCAGCCGAAGGGCCAGCCTACTGCAGAGCTGCTGCTCAAGCTTTGCCCAGTGCCTGGCTCCCTCCAGCAGTGCTGGGCACAGCATGGCTGAACCAGCCATGTGGCAGCACATCGCCCCCCTTAAACTGATGTGAATTTACGACGGACACATGAATTGTGAGTTTGCCACTAGATTAATCAGACTTTGGCTTAGTAATGTTCTCATACAAATGGAGAACCTGATCTGGAAAATACATTCCCTCACATTTTATATTAGCAAGTTTGTTAGTTGTTGATAAGACGTTACACTGTAGAGTCCTGGTTCTGTAGCTTTGTGCTGATGTCAGTGAGAACCCTACTTTCAGGAAGGATACAGTGTTTATGGAGTATGTCAAGAACAGAGCCTTGAACTTGGATGGTATAATTATTTCATTAAAATTTTCTTTGGCTCATGTACTTTTTGTAATAAACAAAGAAAACGTGTATTCAGAATACAGATATGAAAGAGTTTTAAGAAGAAATTTGAGCTTGGGGTGTGGGATTATTGACTCTGGCTTGTTTGCTGGCTGCATGAATGAGAGCAAAGCTCTTTGCAAGGTCATTGAATATGGCGAGATTTTGGTCAAAAGCCATTATTGACCTGTTGAGTGGTATGTTGAACAGATCAGCAAGCAGGCTTGGTTTTGTACATAGGGAGTGAGATCTCATCCCTCCTCTGTGCTTTCTTCATCTTGTACTGAGGGATGGAGTGAGAAACAGTCCCTTTAATAAAACCCCGTAACTGTTCTTAGTTAATATCACAGAAATGTATCCATGACATAGCCTGAAGACCTGATCTTAATTTATGTTTCAAGCAAGTACAGATTATAATTATACAAATTATCATTAGTGCTCCTCAAGCAATCCAGACAGAGGTTGGCACAAAGATGGTTTTATAGCAATTAACCCCTCTCCTAGTAGAAACTGAGTGTTGAACTTACGTTATATACTTCCAGCAGAAACATTTTAAATTGATTTGCCAGTTAGAACAGCCTTAAAAGAAAATGAGACCAGGTATATGTATTTTGTTCACTTTTTTCCCCCGTAAGCTTTTATTCATAAAAAGTGTTTTGGCTTTTCATTTTGAAGACATAATATTTGTATAAGAAAAATTGGTTTGTTTTTTGTTTTTCCTCCTCTTTAGGAGAAAACTGAAAGTTCTATTATTTTACTTAACACAGTAAAACTTTTTTTTTCCTCCCAAGTTATTTCTGGTAATATATTTTGGGGTTTATTATTTGGCAGTTTTCTGTGCTTGTGATTTAAAGGTTTAACTCCAGCAGATTCTTTTCTTCACAGTAATGAGCTTAGTATGAAAGAAGATTCCCGTCTAAACTTGCTAGATGACGGCACATTAATGATTCAGAATACTCAAGAAACAGACCAAGGCATTTACCAGTGCATGGCAAAGAATGTGGCTGGAGAAGTGAAAACTCAGGAAGTTACTCTTAGATACTTTGAGTCACCAGGTAAAGAACAGGAAGTCTGAATTTTGCATTCAGATAGAGAATTATTTTGATAATATTGCTAAAACTAAGATGCTTTGGCTCTTGTATGTTCTTGACATGTAGATTTCTTGTGCTTGGGCATCTTGAGAACTAGATCATGAAGTTATAATATCCCTAGAACAAAAATGCAAATCAGCCAATTAATATCTTTATTGTAGTATGCAATTCTGATGATAGTAGTGTAGGCTGTTTATAGAAGGGTTAGGAAAAGAGACTGTTGCACTGTGATGCTGCTCAGTGCAGTAATGTTCTCTCTGGATACCTGAAAACCACAAGCTTCTGAACAGGCCTCTGATGAAAGCTTTGGCACACCCTGTGCAGCCATTCTTGCTCACGAGCTTTTTAGCCTGAATCTCTCTAGCCAGTGCTTCATGTTTGCAAGCACTAAATTCCTGTCCAGGACTGCAGTGTTTCTAAATTCCAAACTTTTGCTCTGGGAAAATTTTGTTTTGAAACTCAGCATCAGGTAAACGTAAAATGTCACTGCAAAGCACGCATATAGTTGGGAAAAGTTACTAAAACGTAGCTTAATCAGTTTTGGGGTTTTGTGCACTTACGGCAATTTTTAGCCAGTTTGTTTTCTGGGTCTCAGTGTCTATGCCTCTGAAGAGATGTTTTTATAAAGAGTAGCAAATGAGAAGGAAATGTTTGAAAATTGTTTTAATGGCAGTTAAGAAAAAACATCAGTGCAATTATATGAGTTTTTATTTTTTAATCTATTGATATTTACAGATGTCTGCAGCTAGATTAGCCTTAAAATGAGGCAGAGTTTGCACCAAGATTAGAAGTATGTTGGAACAGAGCTATTAAAAACCCCCTAGATTCCCCAAGCTATTGGGTTATTCAGCTAAATTAGTGCTATATGAGCTAAAAGTCATACTTAGGCATTGTTCTTTTCTCACAGCCCGGCCAAGTTTTGTGATTCACCCGCAAAATACCGAAGTGCTAGTTGGAGAGAGTGTTACCCTGGAGTGCAGCGCAACCGGGCACCCTCAGCCGCGAATTACCTGGACCAAAGGCGACAGAACCCCTTTACCAAATGACCCTCGTGTCACGATAACTCCATCAGGAGGACTTTACATACAAAATGTGAAGCAGGAGGACAGTGGCGAGTATACCTGTTTTGCAACTAACAGCATAGATAATATCCATGCGACTGCGTACATCATAGTCCAAGGTGAGTAACATTAAACTAGGAGTGACATGCTGTAAAACATATTAGGAAGAGTGTATTACTTTAAATTGTGTGGGCTTGTCTTTTTTTTTCTGAATTGTCTGAGCTGAACTAAAATCATAACAATTTTTTTTTTTTAATTACACTATTCTAGTGTAGTCCATAGGAAAGTTGCTATACATTTTGCTCGGAGTAAGATATTATATACTAATTCTCTGAAAGCTAAGTTTCATTGATTATTCTCAGAAGTTAATCATTGGTGTTTTGAAATGTTTGTTTATATGTTTAATATTTCTTATGTTTTGTTTGCCTGTAGGAATAAGCGTGCAGTGACAAATTTGTGGGGGATTAAATTTTTTCTGTAAGAGGCAGCAGTCGTAGAGATTAGAATTTGTGTCTGGAGTACTACAAATTGAGTTTCAAGTACAGATCTGTGCTGCCTTTCTTTTGTAGACACTTCAATGAATGTGGAAACTGAGTTCCATGGAAACTATCACTCTGCCAGTTGAGGCATTAGCATAACTTTTCTGCAAAACAATACTCTAACTTATTGCGATCACAATAATTTTGGTATTGTATGTTGACAGTATGAATATAAAGTGTTTTGAGAACAATATATCAATCTCCTATATGCATGGAGAATTTTTTGCAAGTGTTTTCATGCTGGAACTTTTATTTCCAAAACATTTTGAGTAACCTTTAAATATAAGTTTGTTTCTGTTCTCATGTTAGGATCTCTAGTTGGCAAACAGTTTAGGTTGCAAGTGCTTTGTAATGAGTTCAGTTTTTAAACCTATACAAAACAACTTGTCCATGTGGTTTGTTCACTTATTATTCACCAATGGATGATTGTGTTTTGAGAGCTGAACAAATTGCTTCTCATGCTGATAATGCTATGATGTTACTGCAGAAATTGGCTCACACTCCACTCACTGCTTTCCTTTTGTGTAAAGAAGAAAACGAGCAGTTCAGGATGGTTTTGACTACATTGCATTTTCTTCACAATTTAGCTGAGGATTTTTTGAGAGGAAGAGAAGAAGGTATTTTTAATCCAGGGAACACTCCATGTTTGAGTCTGCAAGTCTCACTGTACCTCTTATTTTGGATCTATGCCAGTAGATCCCAGAGACCTTCACTGACACCAGGGCCAGGTTATGAGGGAGATGTTTCTGTTGCACAAGTGGCTGCCCTAATTCTGCCCTATGGCAGTCACAGTATGAGTCCCATTAGCGTCACTTTTCCCACCAATATGAGCTATTCAAGTCACACAGGAAACGGTATGTAATTTCAGACAGTCATGCATTTTTCAGTTTTTTTTAACCAGTTTATTTTCTCTTCTGTAGCTCTACCTCAGTTTACTGTCACTCCTCAAGACAAAACAGTGATTGAGGGACAAACCGTTGACTTCCCTTGTGAAGCGCAAGGCTATCCTCAGCCTGTTATTGCCTGGACTAAAGGAGGTAAGTGTGTTACATTTTTACTTTTAAACTACTAGAATAGTTTAGCTGTCATTTGGAATTGCTCATGCATTGAAAAGAATTGCATGTATATGTTCAGATGCTTCAGTCTCTGAAGGAAACAGAGCTCATCTCTTTCTGCTTTAGCCAGAAAAGGCAAGGCGTCCCACGGAAGCTAGCTGCCCAAGTATTTTTCATTATTCAGTAAAAAAGAGTCACTAAAATATACGTCTCCATAATAGATTCCTAATAATAAATGTTTAAGAAATATGAGACAAATCACATGTGGCAATACCTATCACTGCCGGTTTACTGCAGAAGAAATGGAGACGACTGTCATTAACTGGCGATCTGAAATTAGGTGGGATGTGCTCTCTTCAGAAACCAGAACAGTCCAACCTGGCAGCAGCATAACTGCACTTCTGTCACTTAATGTGGATTGACAGGAACACTGGGGTGCACTCTGCTGACTGTTTTATCAGGTTGTGGCCGTAAAGACATTAAGCCAGATCCAGCTGGAAGAAACACTGTAGTGAATGTTTTGTCAGTAAGTAAATATTCCACTTGAATCAAATAAAATAGCTCTAGCAGGCAAAACAACTCTTGGGAAACTCTAAGTTATGATGGATAAAGCTGATTTTTAAGAAGCTTTTGATCATTTTCATGCTGATAGTGTCCCTGTTTCTCCCTCTACCAAGATTGCTCCAATCAAATGAAATGTCCAGAAAGGAAGAATAGGGTACAGACACGGATGTGCCTTTTATTTCATTTTTATTGTATTCCATTTTTTTAGGGCTGTCTTTATTTTTATATGGATTCTCTAGATGGCTCTAGGCAGATGAGATGAATTGTGTCTTACACACATAGCAATAATATGAAATGAACTGTAATACCTGTTGGTGTTCTTATGATGGTTTCTCATTTGGATGCTTTATCATGGTTCTTAAATGAAAATATTTATTTCTACTACAAACAGATAAGAGATCAGGATTATGATTGTGTGCATATGTATGTTTTGTTTGCTTTGTGTGTTTATCTTCTGAGAAGTAAAGGTTTCAAACTTTTTTCTTAAGAGACTTTAATTTTTTCCAATGTTTTATCTAATTTAAAATCTTCTGGATTTCCCTTTTTCTGACACAAAAGGACTTTTTTCTGCACTGCTATGAATAGGAAATGCTGTTGCTCTGTGTTTCAGGAGGCCAGTTGTCTGTTGACAGAAGACACTTAGTTCTATCCTCTGGAACCCTAAGGATTTCCAGGGTTGCTCTGCATGACCAGGGGCAGTATGAATGCCAAGCTGTCAACATTATCGGATCTCAACGAATTGTTGTATACCTAACCGTACAGCCTAGAGGTATGTTCTCCATGTACAGCTGCTGAAAAAAAAAGATTTAAGCTTACACTAAAATACACAGTACTGTGTCTGATTTATTTTTTTTTCCCTAAAATGTAAGATTAAGAATCATTTTTGATGGCACAGCATGTTAATATGAAGTAGTATATCTTTGTTTAGAATTAAAAAAGCTTTTGGAACAGAGCATGAATAGTGCTTACATTCTTCTTCAGGACTTTTGCTGCATTTTACAATGATTCTAAGTTGCTGGTTTTGAATTTTAAGGTGTTTTATTAGTTTTTATAAATTGAGCATGTGGGACAGTGTGCCCTGATAGGCTTTGAACAAAGTCACTTGGAGACTACATAAGCTTACAACTAAACATGGCCCTTTTTGATAAAAGCTTGTTAGAATGAGGCAATATCTTTTGTTGTTTAGAAAACTTGCTGTTCGGGGTATTGCTAACATTTCACACTTCTGATCATTATTTCTGAGTATATCTGGTTTTACATTCCAGGTGGTTTTTAATAAATAACATATATGGATACTTATCAGTATTTGTACAGAGTATCATTCCTGTCTTCCATGAAAAAAGTTTATCTGATTTACTCTTTTTTGTAAATAATGGAGGTTTGCTTTGTGGATAACAGTATTCCTATGCTTGGGAAAGTATTTTGTTTTGTGAAAAGACTAGTTTCTTACAAGACTGTATGCTGTTAACTAAATAGTGTTATTAACATAATGTTTTGATGTCCAGAAACAGAGTGTTTTATTTTACAACAGCAGAATGACCTTCACAATGAAAAGTCATTCCTTATACTGAAAATAAGCTGACACAGAAAAAAACCCCCACTCTATTTTCCTTACGCTTTTCTTCAAGTAAATTGTAAGCAAGCTACTTCTAGGATTAATTAGACTCTTAATTAGACGCTTGCCAATGTGACACCCATCTACAAGAAGGGCTGGAAAG